GTCCCACTCCCGTCCCACTCCCGTCCCACTCCCGTCCCACTCCCGTCCCACTCCCGTCCCACTCCCGTCCCACTCCCGTCCCACTCCCGTCCCACTCCCGTCCCACTCCCGTCCCACTCCCGTCCCACTCCCGTCCCACTCCCGTCCCACTCCCGTCCCACTCCCGTCCCACTCCCGTCCCACTCCCGTCCCACTCCCGTCCCACTCCCGTCCCACTCCCGTCCCACTCCCGTCCCACTCCCGTCCCACTCCCGTCCCACTCCCGTCCCACTCCCGTCCCACTCCCGTCCCACTCCCGTCCCACTCCCGTCCCACTCCCGTCCCACTCCCGTCCCACTCCCGTCCCACTCCCGTCCCACTCCCGTCCCACTCCCGTCCCACTCCCGTCCCACTCCCGTCCCACTCCCGTCCCACTCCCGTCCCACTCCCGTCCCACTCCCGTCCCACTCCCGTCCCACTCCCGTCCCACTCCCGTCCCACTCCCGTCCCACTCCCGTCCCACTCCCGTCCCACTCCCGTCCCACTCCCGTCCCACTCCCGTCCCACTCCCGTCCCACTCCCGTCCCACTCCCGTCCCACTCCCGTCCCACTCCCGTCCCACTCCCGTCCCACTCCCGTCCCACTCCCGTCCCACTCCCGTCCCACTCCCGTCCCACTCCCGTCCCACTCCCGTCCCACTCCCGTCCCACTCCCGTCCCACTCCCGTCCCACTCCCGTCCCACTCCCGTCCCACTCCCGTCCCACTCCCGTCCCACTCCCGTCCCACTCCCGTCCCACTCCCGTCCCACTCCCGTCCCACTCCCGTCCCACTCCCGTCCCACTCCCGTCCCACTCCCGTCCCACTCCCGTCCCACTCCCGTCCCACTCCCGTCCCACTCCCGTCCCACTCCCGTCCCACTCCCGTCCCACTCCCGTCCCACTCCCGTCCCACTCCCGTCCCACTCCCGTCCCACTCCCGTCCCACTCCCGTCCCACTCCCGTCCCACTCCCGTCCCACTCCCGTCCCACTCCCGTCCCACTCCCGTCCCACTCCCGTCCCACTCCCGTCCCACTCCCGTCCCACTCCCGTCCCACTCCCGTCCCACTCCCGTCCCACTCCCGTCCCACTCCCGTCCCACTCCCGTCCCACTCCCGTCCCACTCCCGTCCCACTCCCGTCCCACTCCCGTCCCACTCCCGTCCCACTCCCGTCCCACTCCCGTCCCACTCCCGTCCCACTCCCGTCCCACTCCCGTCCCACTCCCGTCCCACTCCCGTCCCACTCCCGTCCCACTCCCGTCCCACTCCCGTCCCACTCCCGTCCCACTCCCGTCCACTCCCGTCCCACTCCCGTCCCACTCCCGTCCCACTCCCGTCCCACTCCCGTCCCACTCCCGTCCCCCTCCCGTCCCACTCCCGTCCCACTCCCGTCCCACTCCCGTCCCCACTCCCGTCCCACTCCCGTCCCACTCCCGTCCCACTCCCGTCCCACTCCCGTCCCACTCCCGTCCCACTCCCGTCCACTTCCGTCCCACTCCCGTCCCACTCCCGTCCCACTCCCGTCCCGATCCCGTCCCACTCCCGTCCCACTCCCGTCCCACTCCCGTCCCACTCCCGTCCCCACTCCCGTCCCACTCCCGTCCCACTCCCGTCCCACTCCCGTCCCACTCCCGTCCCACTCCCGTCCCACTCCCGTCCCACTCCCGTCCCACTCCCGTCCCCCTCCCGTCCCACTCCCGTCCCCACTCCCGTCCCACTCCCGTCCCACTCCCGTCCCACTCCCGTCCCACTCCCGTCCCACTCCCGTCCCACCCCCGTCCCACTCCCGCCCACTCCCGTCCCCACTCCCGTCCCACTCCCGTCCCACTCCCGTCCCACTCCCGTCCCACTCCCGTCCCACTCCCGTCCCACTCCCGTCCCACTCCCGTCCCACTCCCCGTCCCACTCCCGTCCCACTCCCGTCCCACTCCCGTCCCACTCCCGTCCCACTCCCGTCCCACTCCCGTCCCACTCCCGTCCCACTCCCGTCCCACTCCCGTCCCACTCCCGTCCCACTCCCGTCCCACTCCCGTCCCACTCCCGTCCCACTCCCGTCCCCACTCCCGTCCCACTCCCGTCCCACTCCCGTCCCACTCCCGTCCCACTCCCGTCCCACTCCCGTCCCACTCCCGTCCCACTCCCGTCCCACTCCCGTCCCACTCCCGTCCCACTCCCGTCCCACTCCCGTCCCACTCCCGTCCCACTCCCGTCCCACTCCCGTCCCACTCCCGTCCCACTCCCGTCCCACTCCCGTCCCACTCCCGTCCCACTCCCGTCCCACTCCCGTCCCACTCCCGTCCACTCCCGTCCCACTCCCGTCCCACTCCCGTCCCAACTCCCGTCCCACTCCCGTCCCACTCCCGTCCACTCCCGTCCACTCCCGTCCCACTCCCGTCCCACTCCCGTCCCACTCCCGTCCCACTCCCGTCCCACTCCCGTCCCACTCCCCCGTCCCACTCCCGTCCCACTCCCGTCCCACTCCCGTCCCACTCCCGTCCCCCTCCCGTCCCACTCCCGTCCCACTCCCGTCCACTCCCGTCCCACTTCCCGTCCCCACTCCCGTCCCACTCCCGTCCCACTCCCGTCCCACTCCCGTCCCCACTCCCGTCCCACTCCCCGTCCCACTCCCGTCCACTCCCGTCCCACTCCCGTCCCACTCCCCGTCCCACTCCCGTCCCCCACTCCCGTCCCACTCCCGTCCCACTCCCGTCCCACTCCCGTCCCACTCCCGTCCCCACTCCCGTCCCACTCCCGTCCCACTCCCGTCCCACTCCCGTCCCACTCCCGTCCCCACTCCCGTCCCACTCCCGTCCCACTCCCGTCCCACTCCGTCCCACTCCCGTCCCACTCCCGTCCCACTCCGCCCACCTCCCGTCCCACTCCCGTTCCCACTCCGTCCCACTCCCGTCCCCCTCCCGTCCCACTCCCGTCCCACTCCCGTCCCACTCCCGTCCCACTCCCGTCCCACTCCCGTCCCACTCCCGTCCCACTCCCGTCCCACTCCCGTCCCACTCCCGTCCCACTCCCGTCCCACTCCCGTCCCACTCCCGTCCCACTCCCGTCCCACTCCCGTCCCACTCCCGTCCCACTCCCGTCCCACTCCCGTCCCACTCCCGTCCCACTCCCGTCCCACTCCCGTCCCACTCCCGTCCCACTCCCGTCCCACTCCCGTCCCACTCCCGTCCCACTCCCGTCCCACTCCCGTCCCACTCCCGTCCCACTCCCGTCCCACTCCCGTCCCACTCCCGTCCCACTCCCGTCCCACTCCCGTCCCACTCCCGTCCCACTCCCGTCCCACTCCCGTCCCACTCCCGTCCCACTCCCGTCCCACTCCCGTCCCACTCCCGTCCCACTCCCGTCCCACTCCCGTCCCACTCCCGTCCCACTCCCGTCCCACTCCCGTCCCACTCCCGTCCCACTCCCGTCCCACTCCCGTCCCACTCCCGTCCCACTCCCGTCCCACTCCCGTCCCACTCCCGTCCCACTCCCGTCCCACTCCCGTCCCACTCCCGTCCCACTCCCGTCCCACTCCCGTCCCACTCCCGTCCCACTCCCGTCCCACTCCCGTCCCACTCCCGTCCCACTCCCGTCCCACTCCCGTCCCCCTCCCGTCCCACTCCCGTCCCACTCCCGTCCCACTCCCGTCCCACTCCCGTCCCACTCCCGTCCCACTCCCGTCCCACTCCCGTCCCACTCCCGTCCCACTCCCGTCCCACTCCCGTCCCACTTCCCGTCCCACTCCCGTCCCACTCCCGTCCCACTCCCGTCCCACTCCCGTCCCACTCCCGTCCCACTCCCGTCCCCACTCCCGTCCCACTCCCGTCCCACTCCCGTCCCACTCCCGTCCCACTCCCGTCCCACTCCCGTCCCACTCCCGTCCCACTCCCGTCCCACTCCCGTCCCACTCCCGTCCCACTCCCGTCCCACTCCCGTCCCACTCCCGTCCCACTCCCGTCCCACTCCCGTCCCACTCCCGTCCCACTCCCGTCCCACTCCCGTCCCACTCCCGTCCCACTCCCGTCCCACTCCCGTCCCACTCCCGTCCCACTCCCGTCCCACTCCCGTCCCACTCCCGTCCCACTCCCGTCCCACTCCCGTCCCACTCCCGTCCCACTCCCGTCCCACTCCCGTCCCACTCCCGTCCCACTCCCGTCCCACTCCCGTCCCACTCCCGTCCCACTCCCGTCCCACTCCCGTCCCACTCCCAGCACCACGGCAACGACTGTGGAGGCATCTCAAGAACCCTCATGTTGGCTCTCCTTTTCCCCCCTCCCCTCGTACTCCCACCCACACCGCTCTCAGGCTCCTCCACCCCTGCTGCAACTTACGAAGCATTTGAACAGACATTCATGTTTGCTCTTCTCTTCCCCCCTCCCCTCCCATTCCCACACCGCTCCCAGGATCCACCCCAGCAGCAAATTTCGAGGCACCTAAAAACCCTCGTGTTTGCTCTCCTCTTTCCCCCTCCCCTCCCATTCCCACACCACCGCTCCCAGGATCCACCCCAGCAGCAACTTCTGAGGCACCTCAAGAACCCTCATGTCTGCTCTCTTCTCCTCTCCTTCCCCTCCCATTCCGACACCTCTCCCAGGATCCACACCTGCAGCAGCGTATGTGCTGCTGGGCTTTTTCGTCATCTTCTTTGGCATCCTCGTTATAGTGGCCTTCATTTGCAACGTGAGGAGCTCTGGAACCTCCTCCTCCAGTCGCCCAGACCAATGTACGTCCCCTCCCTCCCTCCCTCCCCTCCGCCCTCCCCCCTTCCCCGCCCTTCCTCTCCCCGTCTCTCTCCCTCCTCTCCCCTCTCCTGTCTCCTCTCCGCCCTCCTCTCTCTCCTCCTCCTCCTCTCCCTCTCTCTCTCTCTCTCTCTCTCTCTCTCTCTCTCTCTCTCTCTCTCTCTCTCTCTCTCTCTCTCTCTCTCTCTCTCTCTCTCTCTCTCTCTCTCTCTCTCTCTCTCTCTCTCTCTCTCCCTCATCACACCAGGGTCAACGCCGGTGCCTGGCATAATCACAATTGTTGTCTTCACGGCTGCTCTCGTTGCCCTCATCGCTGCGGCCTACTACCTCAGCTACCGCCAAGGGAACTCTGACGGCTCTAACCGCGCCGACCAACGTATGTAGAATGGGCCTTGTTATCCCCTGCGTGACTTTTTTATGTCTGACTCTTACTTGATGAGAGTCCCCTCCTGCCCTAATTGCTCTCATCACTGCCGCCTACTACCTCAGCTATCGGCAAGGGAACTCTGACGGCTCTAACCGCGCCGACCAGTGTAGGTGGATTTGGGCTTGTGCCCTGCTTCAGCCAGATTATGATCCTAGAATCCTGTTTGCTCAGTTCCCTCACTGATCTCATTGCTCTCATTGCTGCAGCCTACTACCTCAGCTACTGGCAAGGGAACTCAGGTGGCTGTAACCGCGCTGACCAGTGTAGGTGGAGTGGGCCTTGTCCCCCTCTTGAGACATTGAGGGCTGACCTGAGAGGCCCGGCATAATCACCTTCGCATTCTTCAAAACTGCCCTCATTGCTCTCAATTCTCGCTGCCCTTGTCGCTGCCGCCTACTACCTCAGCTACTGCCAAGGGAACTCTGACGGCTCTAACTGCACCGACCAGTGTATGTAGTAGATTGGGAATCGGCCCCTGCTTCAGTCATTGAGGGCTGACCTGAGAAGCCCCTCATTTCTCATTGCTCTCGATGCTCATTGCTCTCGATGCTCATTGCTCTCATCGCTGCGGCCTACTACCTCAGCTACCGCCAAACACACTCTGACGGCTCTAACCGCGCCGACCAGTGTAGGTGGAATGGGCCTTGTCCCCAGCTCGACTTTTCCGGGTCTGATCTGAGGGCCCCTCTTTGCTCTCGTTGCTCCAGTTACCCTCACTGCCCTCACTGCCCTAATCGCCGGGTCCCACTCCTCTCAGCTACCACCAAACACACTCAGATGCCTCTAACCGCGCCGACCAGTGTAGGCGGACTGTGCCTTGCTTCCTGCTTGAGTTAGAGTCTGATCTGCAAAGCCCCTTATTGCTTATTGCCCTCATTGCCCGCATAGCCGCTGCCTATTGCCTCAGCTACCACCAGACACACTCTCACACTCCCCTTGCCTCCTCTTGCCTCCCCTTCACCACGCCACCATGCAGTGCCAGTAACCGAGTACAGCCTATCGAAGATCAAGAAAGCAACGCGCAACTTCACCACCATCTACGGCCGTGGCAGCTTTGGCATGGTGTATCTTGCAGTCCAGCTCACACACCTGCTTTGTGCCCTTTCCCCCCCTTCTCCTCACCATGCGTGCAGTGCCAGTAACCGAGTACAGCCTATCGAAGATCAAGAAAGCAACGCGCAACTTCACCACCATATATGGCCGTGGCAGCTTTGGCATGGTGTATCTTGCAGAGGACTTCTTTCGGGATCAAACAGACCCGCGCGCCATCATCAAGCGCGCACACGACCCGCAGAGTGAGTCTCGTCTGCTCGTGCATGCATGCATGCGTGTGTGCATTGCTATGCCACCTGCCTACAGGAGGCATGCAGGCAACCAGACAAAGGCCGCACAGCTTTGGCATGGTGTATCTTGCAGAGATTCCTTTTCTTTGACCAGGCAGACCAGCGTGCTATCATCAGGTGAGCCCACGACCCGCAGAGTGAGTGCAGTGTGGTGTGGTGCGGTGTGGTGTGGTTTTTTACAGTGCACACACGGTGGAGGTGCTGTCTGGCTTCTTTTCCTGGCTTCTTTTCATAGCGTACCTGGCTTCTTTTCCTCCCATCTCTTATCCCCGCATCCTCTTGCATTCAGGGCTGAGCAAGTTCCTGTTCAAGTGCAAGGTGGAGGTGCTGGCGAGGGCACGCCACCGCTACCTCGTGAACCTGCTGGGATACCGCACTCAACCCATCTGAGCCTCCTGCCCTTCATACCCCTCTTTCTCTTAATCCCCATCGCTTTCTCCTGCAGAGCTGGGCGAGTTCCTGTTCAAGTGCAAGGTGGAGGTGCTGGCAAGGGCACGGCACCGCTACCACATGAACATGTAGGGGTACTGTGTGGGCTACCGCACTGAACCCATCTAGCTTCCTTTCCACCTGTCACTTCTCCCCTCATCCTCTCCCCCTCAGAGCTGGGCGAGTTCCTGTTCAAGTGCAAGGTGGAGGTGCTGGCGAGGGCACGGCACCGCTACCTCGTGAACCTGCTGGGGTACTGTGTGGGCAAGGGCGAGCGCATCCTCGTTTATGAGTACCTCTCTAACGGCACGCTCTTCGACCGCCTGCACAGTGAGTGTAGTTTGGAGAGTACCTCGTTATTGGTTCTCCTGTTTTGGGCAAGGGCGAGAGCGTCCTCGTTTATGAGTACCTCTCTAACGGCACCCTCTTTGACCGCCTGCACAGTGAGTATATACTATATACTCGTTCACTTCTTTAGTGGTGATTTTATGGATGGGCCTTTTCGACTGCCTAGGCTGTGAGTGTGTACTCGTTTATGAAGTGCCTTGCTATTGGAGCTCTACTCTTATGGACGGACCTCTTTCACTGCCTGCACAGCACAGTGAGTATACTCGTGTCTCAAAAAGTTGTTTCGTGAGTGTCTACTCATTTATATAAATGGACCTCTCACTCACACTCCACGTATTTCGTTCCTGCCCCCATCCTCCACCCCACTCGCAACCCACCAGGGCCTGAGCTAGAACCTCTTCCATGGGAGACGCGGGTGAGCATAGCAGTGAACGTGGCGTGTGCCTTGGAGTATCTTCACTGCACACCACTGAAGCACCACCAACTCTTCCACCTTTCCTCTCTGTCTCCCTCCCACTCCCAACTCTCCAGGGCCGGAGTTGGAGCCCCTCCCATGGGAGACGCGGGTGAGCATAGCAGTGAACGTGGCGTGTGCCTTGGAGTATCTTCACTGCACACCACTGAAGCACCACCAACTCTTCCACCTTTCCTCTCTGTCTCCCTCCCACTCCCAACTCTCCAGGGCCGGAGTTGGAGCCCCTCCCATGGGAGACGCGGGTGAGCATAGCAGTGAACGTGGCGTGTGCTTTCAGTGTTTACACTGTGCCCCAACCCCCCACCCCCTGTCTCTCTACCCTTCCTAACCCCACCTTGCATCTCTTGACCACCAGGGCCTGAGCTAGAACCTCTTCCATGGGAGACGCGTGTGAGCATTGCAGTGAACGTGGCATGTGCCTTGGAGTATCTCCACCCTCCAATCCCCTCTTCCTTTCCTTCCTAACCCCACCTTGCTTCCCCCAACCCACAGGGCCGGAGCTGGAACCGCTTCCCTGGGAGACGCGTGTGAGCATAGCAGTGAACGTGGCGTGTGCCTTGGAGTATCTGCATCACGGCGTGTCTCCCCCCCTCGTGCACCGTGCTGTGACCTCCTCCAACATCCTGCTCGCCCATGACATGAGCGCCAAGGTGTGTGGTTGTTGATGCTGCGAGTGGTATGGCACCTTGCAGTAACTAGCAGTGAACATGGCGCGTGCCTTGGAGTATCTGCACCACAACGTGACACCTCCCTTGGTGCACAGTGCTGTGACCTCCTCCAACATCCTCCTCGCCCATGACCTGAGCGCCAAGGTGTGTGGGGCCTGTGTGGCACATGGTTGGGTGCAGTGACCAGTGATTAGCAGCAACCGTGGTGTGTCGCCCCCCTTGGTGCACCGCGCTGTGGCCCCCTCTAACATCCTCCTCGCCCACGACATGAGCGCCAAGGTGTGTGGGCTCTGGTACTTCAACAAGGTGCAGTGGGCTGCTGCGATGAACAGCTGTGTGTGAGGCGGCTGCATGCGCTGTGTCTTGGCTCCATTCTAGTGCCCCCCTTGGTGCACCGCGCTGTGACCTCCTCTAACATCCTCCTCGCCCACGACATGAGCGCCAAGGTATGTGGCGTGGGCTGCTTGGAACAGGAGTAAGCTCAGCTGCATGTGTCATGGCTTGGCAGCATTGCAGTGCCTTGCAGTATTTGCATCACGGAGTGTCTCCTTCTCCTAGTGCACCGTGCTGTGGCATCTTCCAACATCCTCCCCGCACATGATATGAGCGCCAATGTATGCGTGGGTTGGTGCATGGGGTCTTGCACACAGTGGGGTGCAGTGGTGTGCAGTGGGGTGCAGTGGTGTGCAGTGGTGTGCAGTGGGGTGCAGTGGGGTGCAGTGCAGTGACTAGCAGCAAACGTGGCGTGTCGCCTGCCCTCGTGCACCGAGCCGCGTGGGCTTTGGCACAAGCAACGTAGAGCCCAGAACGAAGGGGGGAGGATCTTGTCTCACTTTCTCTCCCTTTCGTTGTCCCTTTCTGCAGCTCTCTGATTTTGGCATGGCAAGAGGCAGCGGCGGTGCAGCCTCTTCCTTTGAGGAGAATCCAAGGCGGCAGCGCAAGTTGCGGGCAAGGAGGGTGGAGCGTGGGGAAGCAATCTTATCACACTCTTCGTCAACGGCCCCGTCTTCCCTCGTTGCACCATTCCCTGTCAATCCCCCTTTCGTCCTCCCTATTTGCAGCTCTCTGACTTTGGCGGCAGCGGCGGCGCCACATCATCCTTTTAGGAGAATCCAAGAAGGCAGTGCAAGTCACGGGCAGGGAGGGCGGAGAGGGGGGGACTCATCTCGTTTTTCTTTAATCACACCTTCTTCCTCACGCTCTCCTCCTTTCTTCGTCCCTCTCTCCAGCTGTCCGATTTTGGAATCGCTAGAGGCAGCGGCGGTGCAACCTCATCCTTTGAGGAGAATCCGCGGAGGCAGCGCAAGTCACGGGCGGGGAGGGCAGAGAGGGGGGAGGCGAGTGAGGCGAGCATGCAGATGGAGAAGGTGGACGTGTATGGGTTCGGAGTGGTGCTGCTGGAGCTGATCACGGGGCAGAAGGCCATGAAGGAGGTCCACATCACCAGCGTGGTGAGTCCCAGTGCAGTGCGGTTGAGTGCGGTGTAGTGCGGTACAAAGCGGTACAGTGCGGTACAGTGCGATGGAGTGCGGTGCAGTGCATTTCTGTGTGTTGCAGTGCGGTACAGTGCGGTATCTGCAGTGTGAGGCGAGCATGCAGATGGAGAAGGTGGACGTGTATGGGTTCGGAGTGGTGCTGCTGGAGCTCATCACGGGGCAGAAGGCCATGAAGGAGGTCCACATCACCAGCGTGGTGAGTCCCAGTGCAGTGCGGTGGAGCGCAGTATGTGCAGTGTGAGGCGAGCATGCAGATGGAGAAGGTGGATGTGTATGGGTTCGGTTTGACCCTCATGGTTCCATTCCATCTCCCTTTCTTTCCCTGTTTGCTCCATCCCTGCTACCTTCCCTGTCATTTTCCTCGTCCCCCCTCAGGCCGCCCCTTTCCTGGAGGACGCCCAGATGATGCCTCTCATGTGGACCCACAGAATTCCAACTCCCAACTCGCTTCTTTTCCCCTCACCTTTCTTCGTCCCCACCGTCTCCCTCCTCCCACAGGCCGCCCCTTTCCTGGAAGACGCTCAGATGATGCCTCTCATGGTGGACCCGCAACTCGGCGGCTACTTCAACCAATCAGAGCTCATCGAGCTCGGCACCATTGCACGCGACTGCGTGCAAGAAGACGCGTCCAGCCGCCCGACCATGCGCGAGGTCCTCCAAACCATGGAGGAGCGCCTCCGTCTCGACTCCCACCTATTCGACAATCTTAATGAGGACGATGCGTTGCTTGTCGATGGGTACTCTGCTGCTGTTCCCGCTGCTGTGACCGCGAGTGGGAGGCGGTCGGGGGTTGGGTTTGGAAGCCTGAGGCTGAGTGTGGGGGGAGGGGGGACGAGTTCGGGGAGGGGTGGGGAGAGTGGGCGGTGGGGAGCAAGTGTGGAGAGTTTTGCGCAGTCGATCAAGTATGTGCTGATGAGTCCTGGAAGGGCGGGGAGTGGGAGGGGCGGAGCGGGTGGGTTGCCGGTTGATGACCCCCATGACCTCGAAATGTCTTCCCTTCTTGTGATGAATGCAGCTGATGCACGGCGATAGAGGGGTACCAGGTGGGCAAAGGAGAGGAGATCAGGAAGGGAGGTAAAGACGCAAGGGGTGGGGCAGGTGGGTTGCCGGGGGACGATGCGCAAAACCTGCAGATGTCGTCTCTTCTTGTGATGAATGCAGCTGACGCACAGTGATAGAGGCGTGAGGAATATGGACGGTGGTAGAGGGAGCGGAGGGGCAAGAGGAAGGAGGGAGCCATAGTAAGGGCTGTGGTGGGTTGCCGGGGGACAATCCGCATGACCTGAAGATGTCTTCCCTGTTCGT